GCGGCGGCCGCGGTGGCAGCAACATGGCTGTGGATGGGTGTTCGGGGTGGCGCTGGCGGCGGGAGGAGCTCCCCCGAGCCCCTGCGCCGGCCGCCCGCTGCTAGCTATGGCAAATGGTGGCGACGGCGGCGGTGGCGACAGTAGTAGCAGCGGCGGCGACGGCGGCGGAGGCAGCAGTCTTAGAATGAGCAGCAATATCCACGCGAACCATCTCAGCCTAGACGCGTCCTCCTCTTCCTCTTCCTCCTCTTCCTCCTCGTCCTCGGTCCACGAGCCCAAGATGGATGCGCTCATCATCCCGGTGACCATGGAGGTGCCGTGCGACAGCCGGGGCCAACGCATGTGGTGGGCTTTCCTGGCCTCCTCCATGGTGACTTTCTTCGGGGGCCTCTTCATCATCTTGCTCTGGCGGACGCTCAAGTACCTGTGGACCGTTTGCTGTCACTGCGGGGGCAAGACGAAGGTAACGCGCACCCCGGGCGCCCGCCCCCAGCGCCAGCCTCGCCGCCCCCGGGCGCCCGCCGCAGCCCACTGCTCGCCCCGCGCGCACCGCGCTGCCTGCGTCCCCGCAGCTCGCAGTTTTCGCCTCGCAGCCTTTCTGCCCTCCGCGCTCCCTGCGCCCTCGGGCTGGCGCGGCAGGCGGTGCGCGGGGATCTAGGAGTTGCCCGCAGCCGGTGCGCTCCGGGGACCCGGACGCCCGATCCGTCCCCTTGTTTATTGTAGGGTTCTCGGGAGCTGCGGCTGGAACCCGGGTGGGGAACGCGCGCCTTTCAGGTGCCGTGGTGTAGGGCGAGGAGAGCCACCCCCACTGGGACGGAGGAAACTGAGGCCACGCTCACCTGCCCCGGCTTCCTGCGATGGGCGAGGGGAACGCGGCAGCCCGCCCTGCACTTTGGGAACCTGTTGGGGAGATGAGTTCCTGGGGTCCGAAAGAAGGGAAGGTCCTTTGGGCAAGGGAGAAAATCTTTTGCGGTAGGGAATCCCTGGGGAGGATCACGGCCACAGAAAGTGGTGTTCTTGGCGGGGGGCGGGAGAAAGTTGGGGAGACCCATCCCAGAATTGGAAGCACCCAGGGGGTTGCCACTTTAGGGGTATGGAGAGGTGGCAAATATGATGCCACCTCCCACTCCATCCCTTAGATTTTCCTGTAGAACGTACCCCTACCCAAGTTCTTCGGCTGCTTGTGTACTCTCGCCCCCAAGGCCACCCACTTTGGGTCCCCGGAAATATCTCCAGCCGCGCTGAGCTGGAGTGTGAGGGCCGCCAGCTGAGAGAGTCAGCAGAGGCCCTGGTGTCGCGACGAGCCCCTTTCCGGCTGGATGCTGCCTTGGGCTATTCCTGGCTCAGACGCCCACCACACTGAGGCTTACAACACCTTAGATGTATGGTTGCTAGGCAGACTGACTGGTCTGTGGCCGTGTCCCTTGAGATGCCCCTTCCTGCCATCCACCAGTGGCTGGGGTGGGGAACGGGGGTAGTGTTTGATAGAAAACTGTAGAATAAAAAAAAAACAAAAAACCAAAAACTGGAAGAAAGGGACAGAGCTGCCCTCTTGTTGAGTAATACCATCCCGGAATACTTGCAGCGCCCACGTTTTAGGAGGGTGGGCATATCTAGGGGAAGAGAGGGCCAGGCAGTTGCACATTCTGGTTCCCCAACGCTTACACCTTTCCTGGTAAAGTTAATCCTGGACCCCTCCAACTTTACGGGGTGCAGCAACTTGTAGCAGCCTCCTGGCCATTAAGGGAAGATATTGGGGAGCCAGGGGTTTGCGATGAAGGCTCATGATAAAAGGCAAGGGTGAGCCCAGGTGCTTTGTCTTGGTTATTAATTATACATCGCGTTGGGTGCTAGAGCTCAGCTGTGTTTTGTGATAGCACATTTGTGTTTTGGAAAATACTGGTGTGTCGGAATAAGGGAGAAAAATGAAAAGCATTATTTTCCTTCTCTTCTTGCTTCCTTTGGAGGGCTCCAGATGTTGCTAGACACATTTGTTTGGAGTCAGCTTCGGGGTGATAGAGGTACCCCCTTACTTCTCAAGGAGGAAGACCTTCTACCTTCCAGAGAAGTCCTCTAGGAAGCAAGGTTTTTTTTTCTTTCTTTCTTTCTTTTTTTTTTTGGTACCAGGAATCAAACTCAGGACCTTGTGCTTGTCAGGCAAACACTTGTGCCGCTGAGCTATATCCATGGCAAGGTTGTAACCACAGTCCCTGTGATGCCACTGCCTTACCCAGCTCTTAATTGCACGCTTTTTCATAGAGCTTTTTATCACACATTCGGTGTCCTCCATCTCCCCTACAGGCTTCAGTCCTGGGAATTTCCCCTGCTCCCTTTACTGAGATTCTGCAACTGTGCTTAAGGGAAAAGATAGTCACATTACAGGCATCTAAAATATTCTCTAGATAGCTTGATTTGATTGAACTTTTTAACGACTTCCCATTTTTCCAGAAGTGGGCAATTTTGATCATAATGCAAACTTTTTTTTTTTCCTCAATGAGTCAGAATAAGATGTGGTTTTGTGATCCTGGAGTTTTAAACACAGTTTCTAAAATGTCTTTACTCCAGGGGGCGGGGGGAGAACATAAATGTCACTGCAGTGCTTATCATCAGATGCTCATCAGACAGTTCACAAGAAAGAATTTTTTCCTAAGAGATGACCAAGCATAACTTCTATTAGTTTTCTTGAGAAAGTAGGTTTTTGGCAGTGGTCGTTAGAAAAAACACTACGTAAATATTCGGTAATTTTTTGTAGCTCTGTGACCAGCTGAGTGGATGTAGCTGGAAGTTCCTATAAGGAGTCAAGCTGGGATGGGAGATGATTGTAGTTAATTGGGGAGAAGTGAAGCCAACACCGAATGAGATCAGGTTATTTTTGATATTGTGGGTTCATTTAAAAATATGACCCCCGAATCTCTTAATACCGGTCCCTTGATTTCTTTAACTAAACTGTGTGTAGCGGGGTCATTAGAGCCAGATGATAAGTCAGGCCTTTTATAAGCTTTTCTTCCTACCTTTGAGGTCTACATTTTTTTGCAATTTTTTTGGGATCCTTCATTCCTTTTGCTTTCCAAGTATTTGGTAGTTTTGTTGAGACTTGGTGCAGAAAAAAGTATTTGGCTCAAGTTGAGGACAATTATTTTAGTTCTAGCTTTTCCGAGCAAACCTCAGATGCCTCTCTGCAGCGCTCTACCCATCCTTGGTCGTGCCTAGACCATCTAGACCAACACTGGTTTGAGCAGGAGCCAGCATCCCAGGGAAAGCAGGCCTTTTCAACATCATAGATGCCTGGCAGAGAGAAGTTTCAGCAGGGAGCTCTGAAATCACATGCATTTGGTCTAAGACTGCACCATCGTTTTTGATCAGAGAAACCTGAGACTGTTGATGTGTCACAAGGAGCCTCTGGCTCAGTACCTTTGGCCTCCAAATAGCATATAGCCAGTGACTTTAGTATGTATTTTTGAAAAGAATGGAATGTGGAATGTTTTTTTAGGAAGGAAAGAGAAAAACTTAGTACGTTTTCTATTGGCTGAGAACTTGGGCACAGTCATTCCAGGACTGTGCTTTTTGCTGTACTTTTTCACATTATTATTTTCTTTCTTCCTTGTTGGATTTCATCCGCGGTCTCTGTGCGCCTGGCCTTGACATTTTGAGGTCCAGTCTAGTCGCAGATTGTAGTGAGTAGAGAGCTGCTGCATTTTGTGGCTGCACGTTGTGTTTGGGAAAATACTGGCAAGCCTGAATCAAGGCACAACTTTGAAGAAGTCGTTTAACGTCTCTGGTCTGTCTTTCTTTGCTTGTACAATGCGAGGGCTGGAATCAATACATCCTCATGTGCTTTCCTGCTCCGGATTTTACCTGGAGTAAAGTTTCTAGTTTAGCCATTCCCTTAGGAATTCAGCCTTGGACCCAGTTAAGTGTTTCTGTCCCCTTCTACTGCTCACCTTCTGGTATACAGTCTACTTCCCTGACAGTGCCTGGGGAAACTGAGGCCAGCGTCCTTAAGGGGGTGGTTTGCTGTGCGGCTTGTTGTTTCTGTTTGAGCTGCCGTCCTTGTAGGAGCTTGGGCTTGATCAAGGATGGTCTGCGTGTAATGAATTATTAAGGTGTTGTCTCCATGGCTGTGTCTGAGAAAACAACACATTTTCTCCATCGGGCTCGTGACTAATACAGTATAAATATCAGATCCCATTACGGCTTGGTAATTACCCTGGGTCTGGCCAGGCACATTCAATCAGGGCTGCAGCTTCAGCGCCTTGGATCTCCTGATTCCAGATTGGCCTCGGTGCCTCATCTCGCTCTTCCTGTCCCAGGATCGGCTGTACCGGATGACTTTCAGATAGTCCTCTGTGATGAGCTCACTTGGGATGGCCTTGGAGAAGTTCTCAGGTCCCAGTCACGGGGGAGCATACCAGCTGACCTGCCCTTGTTGCCCTGTGCTTCTTGCTCCTGGCTCACTTGATGGAAAGGCACCCGTTAGTATACCATAGGCCGCAGTCACACATATCCAAGTTCAGGGCTGGAACTCATGCCCACGAGCTGGGCACCTGTGGCTGGCAGTCAGGTTAAGCCTTGGTGTTCTCATTTGTCAAAGGAGAATGAAGATACTTTTTGTTTGTAGGAGTCTTATGAGGAGTGTGGGCAATAACGGGTCTATAGTGCTCAGCAAATGACTGGCACTTAGTGGGCCTCTTGTAAGTGGAAACTACCTTAGCTTTAAAAAGCATGGAATTTTTATGTTCTCTTTGATTCATCAAACTATGGCCCCTGAGGGGCTTAATCTATAACTGATAGAATTTTTGAGCCAAGAGGAGCTTGTAAACCTTCAAATGTGCTGTTATGATTTGAACGGTCTATTTGAGTCTGACTGAGGTTTCGGGTACTGGGTTTTGGATGCTGCAAGGTGGGATGAGAAGGGTGCACTGTCTAGAAGGCTGTGTGGATGTGGACCCAGCAAGATGTCTGAGGTGTTGATGGTGGGGTTGCTGGGATCCTGGAGCTTTAGGGTTGGCATTTGGTGGGTGGATGTGACTGTCCTGCATCTGTACCCTTGAGAAGCGACAAATTCCATTCTTATTATCCCAAGTCCAGAGCTCCCAAACCTGTGCCTCCAACAGTGTTGTAACAGTCTCTGGGTGCCATCTACCCAGATCAGCTTTTCCTTGACAACCCCTGGAGCAGCATTGCCTGATGCGCATCTATGGAGTGCTTGCCCTTGAAGTTACCTTGGGAAGAACCAAGAGTGAGGGTGAACCTCGCCTTGGAGAATCACATCGCAGGCCTGAGGAAGTCTTGCTGGTAGAGAAATCGGCTAACCTGCCTTGCTTTTGAGCAGCCTTTCCCAGCCTTAACCTCTGGCAAGGACTTTTGTGGTTTGTGCCTCAGTTTCCTAATCTACAGATTGGGGATCCTAATAGGGAACAGCTGAATGGAGTAGGTATTCTCACCAGCACCACAGTGGAGCAT